TCAATAAACAGAGATATAGAATCATCAACACATGTATCCAGAAGATTTAACATATCACTAAGTGATTGGCTCAACAAACATTCAAAATATGAAATGAATTTACTATCATAGTCCTTTGATCACACATACTTGGTCCATAGTTCACTCTCCTCATCCGGGACATTGTCACAGGGTTCATTGTCAGTGTTATTGTCCACAGATATTTAAAATATATATATTCTAGGGATGTTTAGTTGTGGACACTAAGAGATACATCAGAAAAATGAAATTGGTTGAGGGAATAAGGAAGCATACGACTTTAGGACTTTATGGTTAACACATTCTTATTCTAACAATCTACATCGACACGCTTCTCAATGCAAGAAATAAGAAGAAGGCTATTCATAAAGTTGTATGCCTCATTACTGACTCATCAACTTCTAGAATGCCTATAAAACAATTGTTTGAGGCAGGTCGATCCTGTAAGTTCCTCGTTACAGTGTTAAGGAGGAAGTTATGTGTTGTGTATTGCCCAGTGTTAGTCCTTAGTACTGCATTGTCATAAATCACTTAAAATACCTGTAAGATGCCTTGCCCTGAGAGAAATAGGCTTGTAACACTGCTGTGTGTCCAGGAAGTGCTGTAAGATTCCTTGCCCTGAGAGAAATAGGCTTGTAACACTGCTGTGTGTCCAGGGAGTGCTGTCAGGTGGGGGGCGGGGAAAGCTCTAGTCTCCCTTTATACCGTATATAGTGTGATTGAAGTGCTTGGCTTATGTTTAACTGTTGTGTAAACTGATCGATCAGCATGCACGCGCGGTCAACAGATTTTGCTGGACAGTAACAGTGAGCGACTAATCACATATTAATCACATATTGTAATTAACAACACAATGACATCACTTAACATTGGCACCTGGCGTTAATGCGTCTGTGGTTCTTTTAATGAATCTGCCAGTCTTAATTAGAGGAGGAATGTTTAATTCCTTACATTGTGGAGTAACTAGTGCGTTCTCAAGAGATTAATCCACTACATACAGTGACAAAACCATGATGTGGTATTAGCCACTTGCAATGTAAGCCGTCAGTGCCATAGAAAACTAATTGAAATGTCACCGATAACGTTGATTATCAAGCGATATAGTATGTAACCGATTTGCACATACACAAATCGAATTTCACCTACCCACCTACAGCATGTGTCATTAATAACTCTGGTGGCGGTGGGGTAGCCTAGTGGATAAAGCGTTCGCTCGTCATGCCGAAGACCCGGGTTCGATTCCCCACATGGGTACAGTGTGTGAAGCCCATTTCTTTGTCCCCACGTGATATTGCTGGAATATTGCTAAAAGCGGCATAAAACCATACTCACACACCCTCTCACTCATTAATAACCCTCACCCAGGAAGCAACCCTTCCGATTTGTTTGGTGGGTTTCTTTAGCTTGAACAGCACACTCAGCAATATTGTAGATATGTGAGGGCGGTCAGCAATAAAACATGTCCAGTCTGGGCCAAACAATCCAGTGCCTGACATCACGAACATATACCAGCACAATAGGGAGGACAAGCGTCAAACCAGTCAGCAAGCCTGACTACCTGGGCAGCCTGGTGTTTAAAGCGATTCCTCGTCACACTGAAGACCCGGGTTCGATTCCCCACATGGGAGCAATGTGTGAAGTCCAATTCTGCATTCGTCACCACTCGCCCCTTTCCGTAAACTCGCTATTCGGCTTGTCCCGGAATAACACAAGTAGGTCACGAATGCCCATTTCTGGTGTCCCCCGCCGTACAAACATTTTAATACTTCAGAATTTATCAATGTTTGTATTCCATGCAACATTACAAAGAAAGCAAAATAATAATATTTGAAAAAATGTAAAAGTTACTACTCGGGCGAATAAAATGTGTGTATGTATTATGTACTATAGGCCTGTGGCCTCTTCGGTACCGAATAAAGGTTGATTGATTGACTGTATAAGTGTCCATTGACCCATTTTTATTCTTTTGTCTTCTAGATGTCGCGTTTTCATGTAATTATGTTATGTATGAAGGTTGTGTAAATTATGTATACTTGAGCGGCGTTAACATAAGCCAGTTTAGGTTTCTGTTTTGCAAAATACAAAATGTTCTCTTGTCACCATGTCGGAAGGGGTTCGTTGTTTTATATATCCTTCATGTAATGAACCCCAAAACAATCATTATTTCACATGTATGCGAAGACCGATTACCATTTTGTCTTGAAACAGAAACATGGATCTATTTGGCATCGTAGAGATCTGTTTTTCAATGGTGCAAGAAACGTGTCAGCATGGATTCAAATCCCAGGTTCGTCGTCCTGATTATCTTTCTTGAACTGACAGCCTAACACTTGCGTCTTTTGGTATTACCAAAATATTTAAAGTTTCAGATACATACCATTTCATGATTTCCGTCCTCATCAGCTGACATGATGTGATGTAACTGAAATACTGCTGTGGAGGCATTAAATCGAACAATGTTTGAACACCCCAGTGTTGGTACGTGTCAGTAACTCTCAACTAAATGAAGCAAGTCTAGTTTTCCACAATTCAGGTTATGGATCTCCCATCTACCCTTAATGAAGCAAGTCTAGATTTTCCACGAATTCAGGTTATGGATCTCCCATCTACCCTTAATGAAGCAAGTCTAGATTTTCCACGAATTCAGGTTATGGATCTCCCATCTACCCTTAATGAAGCAAGTCTAGATTTTCCACGAATTCAGGTTATGGATCTCCCATCTACCCTTAATGAAGCAAGTCTAGATTTTCCACGAATTCAGGTTATGGATCTCCCATCTACCCTTAAAGTCTAGTTTTCCACGAATTCAGGTTATGGATCTCCCATCTACCCTTAATGAAGCAAGTCTAGATTTTCCACGAATTCAGGTTATGGATCTCCCATCTACCCTTAATGAAGCAAGTCTAGATTTTCCACGAATTCAGGTTATGGATCTCCCATCTACCCTTAATGAAGCAAGTCTAGATTTTCCACGAATTCAGGTTATGGATCTCCCATCTACCCTTAATGAAGCAAGTCTAGTTTTCCACAATTCAGGTTGTGGATCTCCCATCTCACTGGCGACCAATGACACCTTCAGCATTTCTGACACACGAAACTGACAAGACTTTATAATTGAGTTTATACTCCACGAAGCGTCGATTCCCACTCGTTTTACTGACCGCATTAAGGTCAGTACAACGATCTTATAGTATACTCAAGTGGAATAACCGTACGTTAATATTGAGTGGGGAATATATGTGAATTCAAGATGGCCTCTGTAGATTCCGTGTTAGGAAAGATCCCAAACAATCAACGATTGTCGTAAAAGGAAGACCAAATGGATATCTAGCCCAACGATGTGGGGTATCAATCACTTGGTTTAAACATATTTATTCATGTGATCATGATGGGATTGGCAAACAAGCATAAACATGCTTATACCAATGCCGCTCCCTAACAATGATACAATAGTATTAACAATAATGATAGTGACGTACACATGAGCTGGGTGCAAAACATAACGTGAATCTTTAAAGACAATACTGGCGTTATAATGTGTTACAGTTTGGAAAAAATCGTTGAAGGCAAATAAACTAGTAGCTGTTGTGATCTCAGTATAACAGCAAGGCACGGCATGTACAATAAAACTAAGTTAGGTAAATTGCGAGAATCTCTGGGAAGATATGATGTAGTTATGTACAGATTTGAGTAGTTCCAGATTTACCTGTTCTGATGAGCCCGAATGACCAAATAAGATTGATGACAAATTAAATCCTCTACTAAAGAAGTATGCATTTGATCTCATGTCGTTAAATGTGGGACAGATGAGGAAGAAATGAAGCGCAATCTTCCGTGTGATGCCCGCAGTTACATTCAGGACTATCAGATATATATCAGGAAAACTTATCTTCATTTAGATCGCTACACCCATGCCGAAGTCGGGAGTGGATTATCACTTGTTCAGCTATGTACAGGCCAGCGTCAACACTGTTGAGAAAAGCGATAAGAAATATTCAGACGAGGAAGCAGCTAATGATGCTAGAATAAACCTGCGTTCACGGGACTCTAGGTGTGGAAGTTTAATCCTAGTATCGTGTAAAGGTGATGAATTAATCATGAAGATGGACTCATGTCAGCGTTTACCCGAATGAATAAAATCAAGTGTCATTTAATGAAAATTGTTTGTGATTGAGGAAATAAATAATTTGCATTTAAATAATTTGTGTTTAAAGAATCTGTTTTCATCTGCGACAGACACCTAATCGCCAGCACAGGTGTGATTAGGTGCCTGACAAAGATGATTTCATCCAAACACAATTGCGACCTTAACTTCATTCGGTAACTTTTGTTATTCAGCATCCAACCTGTCACTAAATAACGGACCTGTGGATGGTAGGTACACAATATAATTCTGCAACAAATTGTCATATTTGAGATATTTATTCGTCTGCAAATCACTGCAGTAGGTTAAATATATCGATTAAAATGAAAGTTGTCAACCAGGAGATTCAGAATCTGTCGCCCCAAGAAGATTAACATATACCCAAATCAGGTGTCCTCAGTCAATAAAACCGTTTTATTTTCTGGTTGTATTTTCTGGTTGGATCTACAAAAACATTAAAACACGTATGATTATAAATTATTATACAACATTACATTATGATTGTGTGACGGCCTAGGAGTTTAAAACGTGTGTCCAAAATGGCGTTGCTGATGTACTGGTTGGCTAGGCAACCATTTGAAACTTCTCAAACACTTATACGAAAAGTGAAACCATCAAATCAGGATTGGCAGTAGTGAGTGAGTATGGTTTTAGGCCGCATTTGCAACATTCCAGCAATTTCACGGAGGTGGACACCATATATGCTCCTGACACATTGTAAACTTATGTAGAATCGAACCCGGGTCTTCAGCGTGCTGAGCAGACGCTGTAACAATTGGCCTACACAACTGCCCTTGGGATCGACAGTAAATACACGTCCAAGTTTCTGGAGGGGTCGTATAAAGTGTTTCTTAACAAGATGTCCTAAATCTCTCAACCAGTGTCACACCAATCATCAACACAGGAGTATAGGCAAATGAACGTTCTTCTCCACAACTGTAGCTTCTGATTCGGCAGCGTCTGTGGTATCGACGCCCCCTGAACAGTCTGGACTCTCCCTGTAGCTGTTGAACATCACAGCCACGTCATCGGGCAGTGGAGTCCAGTCCGTGTCTATCTCACACATGGCGCTGAAGAAACTGACTTTATCCAGGGCAGGGAGTTGAGTGTGTGGGTCATCTGTGTCTACACTGCTCAGTTCTAGTCGGGAGTAGTTTGTTAAACTGGGATCATGCTCCTTGGGTTCATCTGTGTCTACACTGCTCACTTCTTGTCGGGAGTAGTTTGTTAAACTGGAATCACGATCCTTGGGTTCAAACTGCAACCGAACAATAGTAACAACTTATACATTAAATCACAATGGAAGTATATTTTGGGTTATATATTTGTTCCATTGATGTGAGGAAGATAACTGTCTTAACTTCATTTGTCATATACCTGAAACCCAAGCTGTCACCACCTCTCATCTTGTAATTAATACTAATTATATTATTTAAAATGCAATATTAAAATGCTTGATACGTTAAGTATGCTGTATGAAGAAAATACCACTTGAAACAGTTTGAGATTACAAATTAAGATTTTTCGGGTGGAGTCCCAATGGGATCCAATTTACACTTTACAAAGGAAGTATATTCCTCATTATAACATTTTCTACATATGACAACTTTCTGAGAGGCGTTTTCCTTTCATCATTTAGGTCCATGTGGAGGCATGTTGATTTACATTAAACCTTTTCACACGCTTTTATCAGAATAATAGTGACAAAATACCAGCAGTGTACACGATGACAACATCTGCTTTATGTTTAAATACTTACCGTGATTTCGCCGGGTAAACCCTCGTGAACAAGGGTATCTTTATCTGGAACCACTGTCTCTTGAGTTCGATTCACCATAGACTTGGATGGAAGCTGTGTTGACATTGGCACATGGGGTAGACACATGCCAATGTGTCCGCTGTGAGACCTAAGTTGCTCATTGGACGAAGGTACATTTGAACACCCGTCGCCATCTTGTGGGTGACCTTGACCTTGTCTCTCAGAAAGGGATGATGACACGACTGATTTGGGCAGTATTCTTCTGAGTTTCGTGGAAGGCCTTTCGTGTAGCAAATGTGGTGTTCCTGTTTTCTTGACATGCGAACCATCATAATGGTCTCGTTGGTTTTCTTTCACCGGAAGTACCCTAGGCACAGCCGCGGGGCTGAAGGTCTGTACATTATAAACCATTAGCGGACTTGAAACCTGTTTGTCGGCAATTCTAGTGTTAGGTGCTTCGACGGATATCTGGTTAGAAACTTTGTCCAGTTTGGGTTCACCTAGCAGTCCAGTGAAATTGACGTCTGACGCACTGCCATTGCAACTATTGTCCGATCTCCCGTCGAGGCTGACAGCCACAGAAGACAAACTGTCTGCTTCCGGTTTTCTAATTTCAGTTGTATGAGACAGTTTGTAGCAAGGATTTGAAAGCAGTCCACTTTGCTGACTTTGTAATTCTTTTCTGAGTTCTAAGCAATTCCCAGTGTTTATGATGCTCTGCGCTGGTGGTATGTTGCTCAGGTCGATCAGCTGTCTGTTACCTGTACTTTGTTTCGCCGCCGTCGTTTCCATGGCAGGTGATTGTGCGACTGCATCTCTTATTTCTGATGGTTGTATCGCATGAGCAAACGAAGATGTGGTTGGTTTTATTTGTCGTTTAACTTTCGCCCTCCTGTTCTGAAACCATATCTGTAAAGTAAAACAAATGAATAAACTTTCCCATGTATTGTAGGCAAGCTGAACATCTGTCAGATTCTTTGATTTGAGTAAGAAAACGGCATCAGATGGTCTGACCTGCTTAAATGGTTGATGCATGTCATTGTATCCAAATTGCGTAGAGCGATGATGTGATGTGATTCACAGGATTACCTGGTCCAGGTTCGATTATTTACAGACCGCCGCCAAATAAGGTGGAGTATCGCTAATCTTTCAAAGGTTGATCACCTTCAGAGTTCCGACCAAAACCGAAACAGGGAACTGTATCATTTCAATTTAAGATCCCAACTCCATAAGGTCACGCAAATCCCTGTGCTGTGTTGCCTCCCTTAGTCACGCCAGGATCGTGAATCCAGCTATTTAATCATTGATCAAACAGAGCCACATCAGCAATGGTAAAAGGTCGGCTTCTCTGTTTGTCTTTATGAACAACCGCACATGTCAACCGACATTCCGTACAAACAGCGTTTAACACACGTCACTACCTTTTTGCTAAACACCAGATGTTTCAATGACATACAATCAATGAAGGTGTGGGGTAACCTAGTGATTCAACACTCCGTCGCCACGCCCAAGACCCGGGTTCGATTCCCAACATGGGTACAGTGAGGGAAGCCCATTTCTGGTGTCCTCCCCCGTGCTGGAATATTGCTGAAAGAGGCTTAAAGCTAAACTCACTCACTCAGTACGGGTGTAATCTTTATCTAATCTTACCCTAACATGGGCTTCGTCCAGATCTAACTCCTGAGCAAGGTCGTCTTTGGCGGGAGGGTCGATGTAGCCGTCATTGTTGTTGAAGGTTGCCTCCAGTTTCTTCAGCTGCGCCTTCGTGAAATTATGTCTCCGTCGTCTCGGGTATGTGTTCTCTATTGTTGTTGCCGTTGATGAAGATAGCATTTCGTACTGGAAATTGGAACAGTTGTCATAAAATATAGCGACGACGCTCGATTACATTCCCCACATGGGTACAATGTGTGAAGCCCATTTCGGGTGTTCTCCGCCGTGATATTGCTGGAATATTGCTAAAGGCGGTGTGAAACTTAACTCACCCTTAATGCATTCGAAACTGCTATTGATATCAGTGAATGTGGACAGATAACCCCTCTTGAACTGTTTCGAGTGAAATCGTTTGGTTAAGTGATTTTCCAGATGAACGAATCGTTAATAAGTAGTACTGTCCCTTTACTCAAATGTTCCCCAAATTTGTGAACCGAAGCTTTCTGTATTAACAGAGGTAAAGAGGTCCCATTGTATATATCGTCGAATTTCGCACTCTATAATATAGTCTAAGATGTGCATCTATTCAAACATAATTTTCAACAATACCCACACTATACTATGTTAATTTGGGGACTACCCTTTCTGATCCCAAATGAATGTATAATCTTTCAGATCGTTCACGCATAAGGTCTTAAGATCAGATGCTTTAAGAAACCTATGTTTGGACAGAGATGTCGCAGTGCAAGACTGAAAATAGTTGACGTTATGCTTAGTCAGCTCTTCTGCTTAAGGAAGGCTTGACATACACGAGTATACTCGTGATTTAACCTGTGTTTTAAATTGTAAGTTATATTGTAATGTTAAAATGTGTAAACACATTAAGATGCAATATCAAAACTCTTGATGCGTTGAGCATGACTTTTCTCGAAAATGCCAGTTGTAACATTTATATTTGGGATTACTTTCATAGTAAATTACAATTTCTAGGAGTTCCAATGGGATATTCCAATTTACACTTCACAAAGGAAGTATATTCCTCAGTAAAACATATGAGTACAGTGTATATGATGTCAACATCTGCTTAATGTTTTAATACTTACCGTGATTTCACCGGGTAAACCTTCGTGAACAAGGGTATCTTTATCTGGAACCACTGTCTCTTGAGTTCGATCCACCATGGATGACTTGGATGGAAGCTGCGTTGGCACTGGCACATGGGGTAGACACATGCCAATGCTTTCGCTGTGAGACCTGAGCTGCTCATTGGACGAAGGTACATTTGAACACCCGTCGCCATCTTGTGGGTGACCTTGACCTTGTCTCTCAGAAAGGGATGATGACACGGCTGATTTTGGCAGTATTCCTCTGAGCTTCGTGGAAGGCCTTTCGTGTGGCAAATGTGGTGTCCCTGTTTTCTTAACATGCCAACAATCATAATGGTCTCGTGGGTTTTCTTTCACCGGAAGTACCCTAGGCACAGCCGTCGGGCTGAAGGTCTGTACATTATAAACCATTAGCGGACTTGAAACCTGAGTGTCGGCAATTCCAGTGTTAGGTGCTTCGACGGATATCTGGTTAGAAACTTTGTCCAGTTTGGGTTCACCTAGCAGTCCAGTGTAATTGACGTCTGACGCACTGCCTTTGCAAGTGCTTTCCGATCTCCCGTCGAGACTGACGAGCACGGAAGACAAACTGTCAGCTTCCGGTTTTCTAATTTCAGTTGTATGACACGGTTTGTAGCAAAGATTTGAAAGCAGTCCACTTTGCAATTCTTTTCTGAGTTCTAAGCAATTCCCAGTGTTTATGATGCTCTGCTCTGGTGGTATGTTGCTCAGGTCGAACAGCTGTCTGTTACCTGTACTTTGTTTCGCCGCCGTCGTTTCCATGGCAGGTGATTGTGCGACTGCATCTCTTATTTCTGATGGTTGTATCGCATGAGCAAACGAAGATAATGTTGGCTTTATTTGTCGTTTAACTTTCGCCCTCCTGTTCTGAAACCATATCTGTAAAGTAAAACAAGTGAATAAAATTTCCCATGTAAGCTGAACATCTGTCAGATTCTTTGATTTGAGTAAGAAAACGGCATCAGATGATCTGACCTGGTTGATGCATGTCATTGTATCCAAATTGCGTAGAGCGATGATGTAATGTGATTCACAGGATTACCTGGTCCAGGTTCGATTATTTACAGACCGCCGCCAAATAAGGTGGAGTATCGATAATCTTTCAAACAGCAAACGAGTTCAGTTACACAAATTGTATAAGGTTGATCACCTGCAGGTCATTTTTTCAAAGTTACCTCCCTTAATCACACCAGGATCGTGAATCCAGCTATTTTATCATTGATCAAACAGAGCCACATCAGCAATGGTAAAACGTCGGCTTCTCTGTTTGTCTTTATTAACAAACGCACATGTCAACCGACATTCCGTACAAACGGCGTTTAACACACGTCACTACCTTTTTGCAAACACCAGATGTTTCAATGACATACAATCAATGAAGGTGTGGGGTAGCCTAGTGATTAAACACTCCGTCGCCACGCCCAAGACCCGGGTTCGATTCCCAACATGGGTACAGTGAGGGAAGCCCATTTCTGGTGTCCTCCGCCGTGCTGGAATATTGCTGAAAGAGGCCTAAAGCTAAACTCACTCACTCAGTACGGGTGTAATCTTTATCTAATCTTACCCTAACATGGGCTTCGTCCAGATCTAACTCCTGAGCAAGGTCGTCTTTGGCGGGAGGGTCGATGTAGCCGTCATTGTTGTTGAAGGTTGCCTCCAGTTTTTCAGCTGCGCCTTCGTGAAATTATGTCTCCGTCGTCTCGGGTATGTGTTCTCTATTGTTGTTGCCGTTGATGAAGAGAGCATTTCGTACTGGAAATTGGAACAGTTGTCATGAAATATAGCGACGACGCTCAATTCAACCGTTGCGCTAAAAGGACATACTAGCTGACAGACCAGAGAAGCTAAAATTGTTAAATGTCTCCAACACTTGATCAGTCTGACGTAATCACATCTGTCGAACTAATTAAAATAAATTCGCTACTAAATATCATACATTATAATATTGAGTCCATGCAAACATATACTGAACATCGTTGAAAACGCACCAGGCTAAAATTGTCCATATTTTCATCAAGATGGATTTCAGCATGACAATGATCAATGAATATAACTAACATGAAGTCGAAGGGCATGTCCAGTTGAAAAAATGCTTTAGAAATAAATTCCTGTCCACAGTATGACTCAAAATTCCAACATGCAGCCACGCCATGAAAAAAGATCGAATTTCATTCTGAAATCATACTGACTGTGACATTAATTGCAGGTGTATGAGAACCGATTCGCATTGCTTCACTAACGATTGTGAAACGAGGACAGAGATGCCGAGGTTAACACCTCACAAAAGAGAACGTGCACTAGGCATGATTCAGGTTGGCACCAGCAGCAGGGATATTGCTCGACAACTTGGACTTGGCCACTTCATAGACGACATCAGTAGACATGCAGCACCTGTGACCTTCAGTGACCTTGGCAACAACGTGTTGCGACGCTCCATCAGGATCGCCATATTGACCTTGTCAATTGTCATTTGACACTGCCGACTGCCAGGACTGCTGCACTAGTTCAAGGTTGACGTGGGGGTCATCAGCGCTGACTCCATGCGACGCCGTCTACACGCTACAGGGCTCCATGCTCGACGTCCTTACGTTGGACCAATTCTGACTGACAGACACCGTAATGAGTGTATACAATGGGCTAGCAGGCATTTTCAGTAAATGTTACAACAATGACATGGTGTGGTAGTCACTGACGAGTCACGTCTTCATCTACGTAATGCTGACGGTCGACTACGTGTTTAGCGTAGACGTGGTGAA